TGAAAGCGCCCTTCTAAAAGGATGGAAGAAGACATGAAAGCATTAGTTCAAAGTGTCAAGGGTAAAATAAATTAAACGGGAAAGCACTGTGAGGGAAGAGGGAAATTAGTAGGGCTAGGGAAAGGAAACATGAAACAAACATTTAATGACAAAAGTAATAAAAAGAAAGATTAGAATATCAAAATGAATTAATTAAAAACCTTGCTCCTGGAGGATGGAGGAGTGGGGGGAAGATGGGTGGTCCTCTTGGTCCTCTTGGTCCTCTTGAAAGCGGCGAGATCTCTCGAACTAAGAAAAGAAAAAATAATAACATGAGGGGGGAAATAATGACATGGAGAATTAGAAGAGAGCAAGGATATTGAAAGATATTGCTAAACCTGGTGGATGCTTGATGAATCTTGGAGATCCTAGGGATGAAAGCGCCCTTCTAAAAGGATGGAAGAAGACATAAAAGCATTAGTTCAAAGTGTCAAGGGTAAAATTATATTGAAAGATATTTCTGAACCTGGTGGATGCTTGATGAATCTTGGAGATCCTAGGGATGAAAGCGCCCTTCTAAAAGGATGGAAGAAGACATGAAAGCATTAGTTCAAAGTGTCAAGGGTAAAATAAATTAAACGGGAAAGCACTGTGAGGGAAGAGGGAAATTAGTAGGGCTAGGGAAAGGAAACATGAAACAAACATGTAATCACAAAAGTAATAAAATGAAAGATAAGAATATCAAAATGAATTAATTAAAAACCTTGCTCCTGGAGGATGGAGGAGTGGGGGGAAGATGGGTGGTCCTCTTGGTCCTCTTGATAGCGGCGAGATCTCTCGAACTAAGAGAAGAAAAAATAATAACATGAGGGGGAAATAATGACATGGAGAATTGGAAGAGAGTCAAGATATTGAAGGAATTTCCTGAACCTGGTGGATGCTTGATGAATCTTGGAGATCCTAGGGATGAAAGCGCCCTTCTAAAGGATGGAAGAAGACACGAAAGCATTAGTTCAAAATGTCAAGGGTAAAATTAAGTAAAGGGAAAGTACTGTAAGGGAAAAAGTAAATTAGAATGGCTGAAAACATGAAACAAGCACGTACACACACAATTCTGGGACAGAGGCAGAAACCGGTTTTTAAACATTAAATTACATGAAACCTAAATTACACTTTAAAATTAACATTCATGAGATCACAAACTCAAGAAAAGGAAAGAATGGAATATAAAAATTAATTAATTAAAAAACCTTGCTCCTGGAGGATGGAGGTGTGGGGCGAAGATGGGTGGTCCTCTTGATGGTCCTCTTGAAGGCGGCGAGATCTCTCGAACTAAGAGACGAAAAAATAATAACATGAGGGAAATAATGCCACCGAAAATTGGAAGAGAGTGAGGTCATTTAAAGACTCTGCTGAACCTGGTGGAGTGCTTGACGAAACGTGGAGATCCTGCGGATGAAATCTCCCTTCTAAATGGATGAAAATAGACATGAAGGCATTAGTTCAAAATGTCAAGTGTTAAATATTTAACGGGAAAGCACTGCAAGGAAAGAAGTAAATTAGAAGGGCTAGGGGAAAAAGTCATGATTAATGGCTGAAAACATGAAACAAACATGCACATACAAAATTCTGGGATTGAGGTAGAAACCGGACTTTTTAAAATACACCAAATTAAACGAAAAATGACATGAAGAACAGAAAATGCAATAATAATGACAAACGAAGGGAATGCAATTGAAATAAAAACAGAAAGCGACACAAACGCGAACGAAAGACTGAACAGAGGCTGAAACCGGACGTTTAACCTAAAGCCAGCTGAAAGAGCTGTCTCATGACCGGTGCACCGATCATGAGGCAGGCCGACAGCTGACTGAGGATAGGAGGGAGGGAATTCGCTTGGGGCGGGCGAGGGCCAACGCGGTTGCGCGCGCGTGCCCTCGCCCTCGCCCCGAGCCGTTCCCTCGCCCCGAGGCGGGTTCCCTCGCCCCGCTTCCTCCCGACCTTGAAACCGGCAAGGCCACGGGGCCATCCCGTCTCGTCGCAGGCCAGACAGGCATGACGACGGGGTGATTTTCGACCGTTGCAATTGCCCCAGGGAGCGACAAGCATCTCCGAAGGACCTGGCACTTCCGGGCCGCGTCCCCCTCATCAGATTCAGGAATGGGGCGGAAAGGCGCGGGAAAATGAACATTTTGGAAAAAGACGTTCCCCGAACCGAGAATGCTTTTGGCACGATCCACGACTTCACACCGAAAGCGAATTCATTTAATGAGACGAAATTAAAAGTCTTCCGCGATGAGGGAAACCGGCGACCGAAAAAAAGGAAATCGAAAACCCTCCTCGAAGAAATAATCATTTCGCTAGGAACGAAAAAACTTTTCTCGCGGAAAAACTTTTCTACCACGAAGCGACGGGCGAAGTCTCCGCGAATCGTTCCCGCGGGAATCCCGCTGGAGGCCGCCTTCGTTTTTCGCATCGATTCCGACGCGCATTCGCCCGATGCAGTTGCCACCGGTTCCCGACCTCCTGCCTCCTCCCGTCTCCACAGATGACGGACCCGCGGACGACGGACGAGGTGCGCGATTGCATCCGGTGACTCAACGGCCGTCGATCATTTCGGCAACATTTCCTCTCGACCCCGAGAGGCTTCCTTCATCGTTTTCACGAATCCTCGTGGATCTCGATGAAGACGTTCTCATCGGCCGGTGTCGCTTGGATCTCGTCTGACCGCGCCGCCGGATGCATCCGGGATTTCCGATTCCTTCCCCGGTCCCGTCTTCGGAGGAAACGTCAAGTACCGACTTAAAAGTACCGGGGACGCGTACCGGCCGCACGCGCGAGGTGGATCGCGGGGATCGCGGGGGTCGCGGGTGGCGATTCGTTCGCCATCTCGCGTCGGGATCCGGAAACCCTCTTTGCTCGAAGGTCACGCCAGATGTCTCTCCCGGCGCAATTTCCCGCCGCCTCGACTCGGTATCGGAGAAGCCTTTCTGGCCCGGATTTCCAACCCGTTCCGAAACGGAGAAAAGTAGGAAAAATTAGTCGTAAATGTACTCTGGCCGTGCGACTCGGTGGAACGAGACGTCCTCTAAAGCCGCATGCTCGCTTTACTCGGCGGTCTGAAAGGGTGGATTGCATTCAGGCTCGTGTTCTTTGACGATGGACCTTGCAAGAAGGCATCGCATTTCGGCCATCGTTCTTCGATTTTTCATCGATCGGGAACGGATGACAGGGAGCGGAGAGCGCGATACAAGCGAAAACGAGGTGAACCGCCTCAGTATCTCCAAAAACTTAAATCAATCCGAGCCTCGCGGATCTTAATGAAGACGTTCTCATCATCCTCTCCGTTCCCCGAGCAGGCATTTCCTCGGATCTCGTCGGATCGCGCCGCCTCCTTCGACGGATGCATTCGGGATTTCCAATTCCTTCCCCGGTCCCGTCTTTGGAGAAAACGTCAAGTACCGACTCGAAAGTACCGAGGACGCGTGCCGGCCGCACGCGCGAGGTGTATTCCCTCGGTGGCGATTCGTCGCCATCTCCCGTCGGGATCCGGAAGCCCTATTTTGCTCGAACCTCACGCCAGATGTCTCGCCCGGCGCATCTTCCCGTCGCCTCGACTGCGCATCGGATACTTGGTACTTTCATTCCGAAATATGTCGTTTATGTAAGAGAGAAGGAGAGGGGGGGTGAGGGGGGGAGGGGGGGAGGAGGGGTAGTCCACCTTCAGGTGAGGGTGAACACGATTATCAGGATTCTTGAAACACGCGCCTCATCGGCTGAGCAGAATTTGCGTCTGACGAATGCGTGCAGTCATCCAAGTCCTCTCAGACTCACCGAGAGGAGAAGCAAATAAATATTCCTGAGGTATATCCGCTGGCACGACGCAACCGCAACCGCAACCGCAACAGATTCGAGAAGAAAAAACTTGGTCGGATCGGAAATTCGTCTCCCTCTGTGCTAAAAGACATTCGTGTCAAATAATTAGCTAGGGCCCCGCGAAAACCCACACATGATCGACAGCCCGACCCGCCAAACAAAATTCATCCAGTTCATCTGCAACGTTCAACCGGATGAGCCGGGCCGGATGAGCCAGGAGTGATTTCCATTCCCGCGGAGAAAACGGCTCGGAGGAGCTTCACCCGTATGAAACTAGATGTCTCTCGGGGTCGGAAGATGCGAGACCCACCATCTGCCTTCGGGCTCCGAAAAATGCGAAAATTCCGAAAATATTCTCACGCAATGGAGGAATGAATTCCCGGCTGCCCTCAGACACAAGGCTAATTTTTATTCGCTCTTTATTCGCGCACACAATGTGGAAGCCGGTTACCATGCGGAACGGAACGCCGTTCGGATCGCGATCCGAGCCCGCCGCGACCGCGGCGGAAACGAAGAAGCAGTTTCTACGGGGTCGTCGCATTTCTCGCGTCGCTGCTAATTTACAGGGGAGATTAAAAAAAAAAAATCAGGTACAACGCGGTTCACTAGAGAAATACTTTTCAGCGTCCGACGAAATGAGTTCACTCGTCTGAAAGACCACTTTCACTTTCCTCGGCGACGGAAATAGAGAAAAAAAAGCACGATTCTGGGCCAGGAATTCCGTCCCCGACATCGACCCGACGAGATCCACACTTCCGTCATTTTCCACAAAACGGTACCAAACACAAAAATATAAATAACTGAAGGCGGCTGTCGCAATCTTCGTCGCAATTGTCGCAATCGTCACCGCAGCTGCCGTCGCAATCGTAGCAATCGCCGTCGCAACCGCAGCAACCGTCATCGCAGCCGCCTCCGTCCCGTCCGGAAGCTATTCTTCCGGAAGCCGTCGATGACGCTGTGCTGGAACCTGAGCCACCGGCTCTGGATGCACAGCGGATTCATGATGGGGCAGGGGTATTCCTCGATGCAGCGCGCGAAGGCCCTGTCGCATTCTCACAGCTGGCGGGAGCAGGTCAACTTCTTCGCGAAGGAGGTCTTCTTATCTTCCTCCGATACTGAGGGGGTCAAATTAATCCATTCCATTAAATGCATATATACATCTATGAATGTAAACTTATTTAAAATGAGAACATTTTGAATGAAATTAAAATTGAAATTTGAAAACGATGCGAAAAGGTATTCGAATATAAATTTAGGCAAAAAGTTTTAACTGCAAATATGCTAACCTGCCTTTGCTCTTGCGGGAAACTTAAGTGAAACGGTACGAAAATAAGTATTAATTTCTGAGCAGAAAATTTACATTTCATGCTTTTGCCGAGAAATATAGAAAAGTCGACTGAGATATCGGAAATTTCCGGAAAAACCAGGATTCAATCCGATTTTGTGAACATCGTCGTCATCGAGATCTGTGCAAAGAACGGAAGCAGAAAATAGACATTTCATACTTTTACAGAGAGATAGGGAAAAGTCGACAAATTGCCGGAAATTTCCGGCAAAACCAGGATTCCACTCGATTTTGTCAACTAAGACGTCATCTAGATCTAAGCGATATACGGCAAAAGAAATTCGACATTTCATGCTTTTATTGAGAGATACGGAAAAGTCGACTGAGGCTACTGAAATTTCCGGCAAATCCAGGATTCCATTCGATTCTTTAACTAAGACGTCATCTGTATCTGTGCGAGGAACGGCAGTAGAAAATCGATATTTCATGCGTTTACATAGAGATACGGAAAAGTCGACTGAGGCTACTGAAATGTCCGGCAAAACCAGGATTCCATTCGATTCTGTTAACTGAAACGTCATCTGGATCTAAGCAAGAAACGGCTGAAGAGAATCAACATTTCATGATTTCACAGAGAGATACGGAAAAGTCGACTGAGGCTACTGAAATGTCGGGCAAAACCAGGATTCGACTTGATTCAGTCAACTAAGACGTCATCTGGATCTAAGCGAGGAACGGCAGAAGAAAATCGATATTTCATGCTTTCACAGAGAGATACGGAAAAGTCGACAGGCTACTGTAATTTCCGGTACAACCAAGATTCAATCCGATTCTGTCAACTTAGACGTTCTTTGAATATGTGCGAGGAACGGCAGCAGAAAATCGAACATTTCATGATTTTACAGAGATACAGAAAAGTCGACAAATTGCAGGAAATTTCCGGAAAAACCAGGATTCGACTCGATTCAGTCAACTAAGACGTCCTCTGGATCTAAGCAAGAAACTGCAGCAGAAAAGGAATATTTCATGCTTTCACAAAGATACGGAAAAGTCGACAGGCAACTGAAACTTCCGGCAAAACAGAGATTCAATCCGATTCTGACAACTTAGACGTTCTTTGAATATGTGCGAGGAACGGCCGCAGGAAATCGACATTTCATACTTTTACAGAGAGATAGGGAAAAGTCGACAAATTGCCGGAAATTTCGGACAAAACCGGGATTCCACTCGATTTTGTCAAATAAGACGTCATCTAGATCTAAGCGATATACGGCAAAAGAAATTCAAATCAGTTTATTCAGGTAATTCAGCATATGCTATAATACCATGATTTCATATCTCTACGTCATCTTTTTATTTATTTTATTTGATTTATTTTACCCTTCAGGAATGATCTGTATTTGCTGTCAGCATGGGATGGTTTTCTCTTTTTTCTAATATATCTCGAATACATTTAGCCA